AGGATGACTCTATTTTCTTCTGAATATAGATGATATCAGTAGATGTAGGAATTATGTAAACAATCTGCTTAAGCATAAACCAATTTTTCCAGTCCATGAACTTCTACCACATGATTCAAATGACAACGCAAACTCGACCACGACGCTAGAATGCAACATTCACGAACAAAGTGGGGGCAAGATCTGCCTTTTGAGAGGAATATTTTACTCCACGATGCAATAGATGGTACCTTCGAGCAAAATTGTTGGGAAGCTGCGAATACACCCAGCATAATAAAACAGAAGCGTTCTACTTCTAGAGATTGCCCAAAGTGGTGATCTCAGCAAGCGACAAAAACCAGATTTTCCTGCGTATTACACGACTTCTTCTTCGAGTTTCCTTAGCGCTATTTACGCAGGAAACGGTCTCCTAGCATTCAAGCGTTTGTAGTGCTAACTAAAGCTTGTATGATGTTATTAGCGAGAAAAAAACCTCGCTCATTAACTATGACTTTCTAGAAGCAGGAACGTCTTATGTTTCTACATAATATGATTCATCTGAGTTCCTACGTCGAAGTATGCAAATGAGGTTTCAACTCATCTACACGCCTCCACTCGTGCCTATGTGCCTAGAGGGCAATTTAAGCAGGTCGCAGTTGCGTGTTTGGTTACCGCTAGTGACAAATGATATCGCATCAGTTTGTACATGTGACATTTCACATCTCTCACCAATCATGTTTCAGCTTATGAATGTTTTGGTTCTAACACGTAACTGGTAATGCACAAAGTGTTAGCCGACGACGAAGTTTCAGACAACATAAATAGTCCTCGTCTCAGTTTCTGAGAAGGAGAGCACGACGTAATGACGCACCATACACATAACACTTTCTGATGTTGCTTCGAGACATAGAAGTTGAAACTTCTTCATAAAGAGCACTGACGGTGACTAAAGAGCTGTTTAGAAGAAATACGATGAGAAGTGAATTGATACAGGCTACGAGATCAGAGGATTGTTTCTTGCATAGATAAGCGCCCCTTGAGTTTATACAATAAGAACAATTCCATCGTCCGCGCCATAGGCACCACGTGCTAACAGTTTGTGATTACAATAGGTATCCATCACTAAACCTAACGGCTAATCTTTGGTTAGCAATGAAGCTTGGAGCTATATATGCTAATAATGCGTTTGCAGTGTTTCTAATGAATAGTGACCAAGAAGCAAAAAGTGGATCGCATACCAGAGAAAAGTATAATGAAGTATGCCTCACGAAGATTTGAAGGTAATAACAGGCAAGATGGCCTTGAGAGCTTGTCATGAACCCTGAGGTGGTGGATTAATGAGGCATTGGAAGCTGAATCTGACAGAAGGCCGTAATTAAATCTAGCAGGAGAAATGTGCTTGAACCTTGTACACAATGAAAAACGATGTGATTGATCATCGAATCTCGAATACGGTATGATTAAAGATTGAAGCATTTATTGTATGATAAATGATCATCTCTGAAATGACAAAAATTAAATAGCAGAAATAACTCTGTCCTATTTTCCCATTCGTCGTATCCGGATATGAGCTCAGAGCACATTTAATGCTTTCTTTTCAGAAACAAAATGTAATTTTGTTGCGAAATTAAGGTTATTTGCTCATTTTCGTTCAAATTAGTGGATTTTATTTTTGTCTAAATCAATTTAAAACCCGTGGAATATAAACGGGCTAATCTGCCACCATTTTGATCAAACGGAACAAGCAAGTGATCGCTTCGAAAATCGATGCAATCGAGGTCTAACTTCTCTCCTAACTGAATGAATCCTGTGAGTCAGTGTGTCATTGTGAAGGACATAAATTTCGCAACCGGCAGCTGTTCGACCCCTGCAACCGATGGAACAAATGAAAGTGAGTTTCAACGGTTTAATTTGTGCGTTTGCCATGGAGCCAGCAGCAAAACCGTGACACTCGGCAAACGGCTGTCAGAGTTTCTGAGGAGTTTTGAAGCCATGACAACCGCAATCCAGTGACGACAAGTAATTGGACTCATCGATATACGAAAAGGTTTCGAAGCAAATGCTTGTTGCAGGCGATAATTGAAACCAGTGCATAAGTTGTAAGAGGTGCCAGTCATAAAATAAATCATGTGACTATGAGGCCGGTCACTGAGCGAGCGATCGGCTACTTTCCAATGAGTCAAACTGCAAGAAGAAAAAAAGACTCTGGCAGAACGAATCACGAGGTAGGGAAAACCATTTGCCCTCCATCGATCCTGCAAAGCAAATCGAATACTCCTTTATATGCAGGGTGCCGCCAAAAGCTATTTGGAAACTAGCAAAATATTAAACTTACTTAATCGTCAAAACACAACAGAAAACATGCATCGAAACTCACTCTGCTACTCTGAAAGCCAATGAAAGGTTCTTCGCCCGTTCGGCTGGATTCAGCTTGTTAAAATCGAACGCTTCCGGACAGAAGTGGTGAATGAGGGCACAAAAGGCCATGCCGTCAGCCCATGATGACGAAAAGTTCGAAATATGTACGTTCTGAAAGAAACAGTTATATGACACAAACAATACACATGCACTCTCGCTTATAGTCATCTCGTTTAAGTCCTAATAATAGCAAAAAGATATCAATGGTAGAAATTATGTTCCTTCTTTGAGGACCTTTGCTTTGACAAGTACCGACATGATTCAGGATCAACCAAGTTATGATACCTCACTTGTGAATAGGGCATTCCTAAATCGAAATGTCACAATTTCGAAGGTTTGGGCACGAGATCAAAGCCAAAGGAGACCTTCAGAAGCCGGGTGGAGATATCCTTAGTTGTGGATAAATATTTATTAGATTGAGAGGTCAAGCCCGTGAGAAGTGGCGTTGGTCAGCGAGAAGCAGAACGAGACAGTTGCAAGATGGTAGAACTTGATGAGGCAAAATAAAAGGCTGTCAAAGGCCGATTGAGGAATAAATGGATCACGTGCATGAAGTACCTGACGATCCAAATTAGAAATATAGTGCGCACTGCTTGTTCGAATTGGCGGAGGACGAAATCAATTAAAAATATGCAAAAACTACTGACCAAAGCTGATTTTAAAATTCAAAGGAAAATTCTGAAAATGGATGGGAGGATATGTGAAAGGATGAATCAGATATACCGAGTTTGCCATCAAAATATATTTCTTCTTATGTGCTTCATAACTGTACATAACATTTTTTCATATCTCACAACTCTCTGACATGAATGATTCCTGATGCCATCTTCCGAAGTCGTCTGGGCATGAGTACCGTTTCTTGGTATCAGGGATCATTACTTTACACTCAAAAGATGCAGGCAAGGTGGAAGCATTTAATCATGGTTTGTTTGGGTACTCATGAATACGAGCCTCTCATCTGAGTTTTACTTGGTATATCTTTCTTTTCGAGAGACCGTGCTTGAAGAATTTAAATATCTGCTCTACTATCCCATCTCTGTCAGTTGCAATGGTTTCGTTCATCAAGTTACCAGAAATAGGGTTGGAAGCTGCTGTGGTTTAAAGAGATCATACTGTAGTCAAAAACAACACAAGATACAAGCATTCTCTAATTTCTGTCTGTTTGAACCAAGTGACTGAAATCATTCACTACAGTTACAGAGTTTTGAATGCAAAAGAATGCTGCTTGAGACGGCTCGGTCTGCCAAGCAACTGTTTGTTAACATGTCTTCATCTATTCTACTGATAGTGTTAGCGTCTTCAGTAAAAAGCATCCTCAAAATGCAGGATCCTCCCTAGCATATAAAGCCTCCTTGCCTTAAATGGTTGAGCGCAAAGGGTGGTTGTGTGATAATTTTATGAAAAACAAGCTTCAAGCGGTCCATTGTCATACTGTCTGCTAAATATATGAAAATTTATATCCTACTAGCTGCATACGTTCGTTCTCACTTTCGGTTTCTTCGTAAAGAGGTTGTAAGAACGAAAGTACCGAGTTGCATGCCGGCATGCAATGACAGCGAAGTACCGGCACATTTCGTTCTCATTACGATAAATCTATGAGCAAATAATGGACCTTTCAATGTGTATTGCCAAAACGAATGGGGGCCACCACATTCGTTCCCTGCTAGATGCGATTAGAACGTAAGACCCAACATAATAGATGTTCTTCCAAACAAGTTTTCATAGAGATCTAGGCACTGAGATTAAAGCTTCAAATATTAATATTTTGAACGTTCTTTTATTAGGTCTTTGACTAAAGACGTGAGTTCAAATATCCCACGTTTAGTGACAATTAATCGGAAACCATGCCGGACTGATTTAGTTGCATGTTTCGTCCCCAATATTAATTTTGAACTTTTTCGCTGTGCCTTGACCGCCGATTGTCAACAAATGCGCGCTATTTGTTCTCCCGTCTATCATTGATACCTCATTGCAATATTTTTGTCCTAATACAATAATCATTCAAAATGAATCAACGAAAGTCACTGTCTCTGCACTAAAACAGAACCTATCGTCCAAAATAAATGGAGGGGCAACGACACTAGGTTTGACCTTACCCACAGGCTACACGTTATCTTGAGATCTAGCATTGTTGCGAATCTTGTATTGAAATCAATATCAGTTGCTCACTCCCTGAATCTCAGCTAAAATATTCATATAATCTTAATAAAACTTAATTTAATTAAAACAATAGATGTAGACATTAGTCCAACACCAGTGCCAACATATCTTTGA